AAAGCAAGAAAGAACTCTGCAGGAAGGGAACTGATCGATAAAAGGAGGGTCAAATCGTGGGAATGAACCTACCCATGATTCGGGGGTAGATTCATTGATTTCTGTTTACTTTTATTTTTCGTTCTTTCTGTTTTTATATTTACTGTGCGAATGGAATACCTGGCCTGGTTCTAGTGGGAAATTTACTCTGGCCTTGCAAAGCCGCTTGACTCCCCAAAACCGAAAATACTCCGCTGGCTGTTCGGCGTGATCAGGCAGTCCCTTATGGTCGTGGCGCTGACCACTGTGCCCATATCCTGTAGCGGTTGCTGTTACGTTCGCCAGCTTCGTCGAGGTCAGAGCCGTGTTCTGTTTCCTCACGGACTTGACTGAAATTGTGGCCGTGATCGCTGATGCAGTCTCTCTTGGCCCAAGATCTCTAGCCGAACCAGACTGTAGGAACAGCCAGGTGCATTTGTGCGTTAATGACGACAAACGAGGGGGCGAGGAGGCGACAGCGGACCCAAGGACTCGGYTGTCCGGCCTAGATGCGGCCCGTTGAGCTGAGCTGAGCAGCTAAAGGCGAACTGTTGGAGGGCGGGAGCTCGCTCGCTGGATTAATACGCTGCCCACCTTAGTGAGCAGAGTGGTGGAAAGAGAGCGGCAGAAGCTGCGGAGCTCCCTGTAGGTTGGCGGATTGCACCGGGTGGCCGGCTAAATTGGGTTGTTGTTCTACTACGGAGGGAGGAAGAGCTGCGTTTTTTTGGGGTCCACGGCCTTTGTCTTGGAAAGTGGTCTAGGCAGGTCGGGCCTCGAGACGTTGTAGGGTGGCCGAGTCTGTAAAAGAAGGGCACCATTTTAATYAGGAAAGGTCCGGGAACAACCGCGGAAAGGCTAAGTCTGTTGCGAAGGGGGGAGRTTATTRYTGCGACTAGRAGAGGCCGTTAGAGGGTTCAATATTTGGCTACTGGGCTTCRGTTTGACCAAGCGGCAGMAGTCTTTGRCCGCCATTGCGGGACCCTCAGGCGATCCAAGACTACAAGGCCCTCTCCCGCGAGTCTGAGAGCACCATTCTTGGATCTGAGAGTCTCACGCTTTTCTCTATCTGCCCTTYTAARGTCTAAGTCTACTCTTTGGTTACGAGAGGAAGGCGGCAGGCGGGATTGCAACCCGTAGGTCCGCATCAAGACTCTGTGGGGAGTCCACCCACCGATTGCGGGAGCTGTGCCGGAACCTAGGCGAGGTTCTGGAGGCAGGGAATTGTCAGGTAAACCACTTCCATTTGTACAACCTTCTACCACCCATGTTTGCCTATGCATGCGTTGTCCCTAGGATTTTGTTTTCTCTCCAGGACCATTCAGACGAACTGGAAAGAATGTGTGAGAGTGAAGCCTAAGTTTCTACTTTATTCTGATTGAAAGTAGACTAAGGTATGAACTGGGGGAAGGTGGGAGGAAGGCAGTCTTGCATGCGTTTGACCGGGTCAACCAAAGCCTGAGCATTGTTTCTACTGTGAATGGCTCAGGGCTGTGTTTATTTGGCTGTTTTCTGAAGGACCAGGCATTGTTTCTACTGTGAA